CACATTAAATTTGAACACAATATGTGGAATTATTTGTACTTTATAGTACTGGTGAGAGTGAAGAATAAGACAGACTACACAGGGCCTGAAAGCTATGTGGCGCAAATGATCAAGGTAAGCATGGTGTAATTTCATAGAAATGAAGTAATAACCAAGTTTGTTATTCTCTTTGCAAAAAATCTGCCTGATTTTCTTGAAAGAAATTCTTCTCACTGTTTCAGATTCTATAAATGCTGTCCATTATGACGTTCATACCACGCTTCATAGGGTATTTGGTTTCTAATTTTTTAAACAGATGGGATTTAGCCTTTTTTAAAAAACTGTTTAGAAAGTCAAAGAACTTAAATGTTTGTGACTAAGTAGGAGTGATTGCTTTTCATTTCTGGCTCTCTCCTGGCTTTCACTAGGCAATTTCTCTTCTGTGGCTGGCATGAGAAGGGTGGTGGTGGTGGCAGCCATACCAGTGTTGCTTTTGGGGAGGCATATCAATCCAATTTTAGGATTGGTTGTGGAACAGGGATTTGCCTGGTTGTCCTATGGCATGATCTTTGCCAAGTTGAGACTATGCAGTCTTACTGAATCATGGATTCTTTGAAGATTTGTGATATTGAGCCACCATATTGCTGCAGTTCCACTTTTACTTGGAAAGATTCTGAAACATGCAGGCAGACTATTGTTCTCTTCCATTGAATTTACATAATTCATGTTTTCACTAATTTTGGCAATCAGGATGTAGGCTGAACCACCACCAATTTATAAATGACAATTAGTCCTGCCTCTTTTTACACGTAATATAAAGTTGAAATTCTGAATCCAGTGCCAAGATAGCACAATGGAAGGCCAGTAGAACCAAGTCAGAAAAGATAGATAAGTTGAAATATTTGGCTGAATATTTATGCTGTTCTGGAACACAAATAATTCCTCCCAATATAAATGAAAGTGATGTAGACTCATCATTGCTACTAGCAGCAATGATTTGGGTGGTTCACAACATTTGCTAATCAAGAACCCCACAGTTCAACCCTAAACCTCAAATATTCTGTCAGATATGTCTCATATAGATCTATGACTGTTCCTAGAAAGAGGGAATACCGTGATAACTGTTTATCTCCCATTGTTCCTGCAATTATTCAAAATAGCCTGGAAACATTTTAACTATTCTGTATATATTTTTACACCAGCTGCCAGTATATTTCCAGACACATTTCAAAATGTTTATTTTGATTGTCAAAATTTCAGAAGATTTGGGATTAGGTTATCTTAAAGGAGGAGGTTCTCTGATATTTATCTCCTAATTATCATTTGAGATTTCTGTTAGGTACCTTCAACTCATTTATCAAGTGAGTCAGTAGCTCCAAAGAAGGCATTATTAATAGAAACATCAATCCAGAAAGACTCATCTGGCACATACGTAGTATTTTCACTTTTTTCAGGCGTATTAAAGAGAGATGATTAGGGGACTGGAAGCTAAAACTTACAAGGAACGGTTGCTGGAATTGGGTATGTCTAGTTTAACGAAGAGAAGGACGAGGGGGGACATGATAGCAGTATTCCAATATCTCAGGGGCCGCTACAAAGAAGAGGGAGTCAAGCTATTTTCCAAGGCGCCTGAAGGCAGAACAAGAAGCAATGGATGGAAACTAATCAAGGAGAGAAGCAACCTAGAACTAAGGAGAAACTTCCTGACAGTTAGAACAATTAACCAGTTGAACAACCTGCCTCCAGAAGTGGTGAATGCTCCAACACTGGAAGTTTTTAAGAAGAGACTGGACAGCCATTTGTCTGAAATGGTATAGGGTTTCCTGCTTGAGCAGGGGGTTGGACTAGATGACCTCCAAGGTCCCTTCCAACTTTATTATTATTATAGATTTTTTATTTAGGTTATATAACTCAAATTTCAGTTTCATCTAGGAGATCTTACTTTATTTTCATTTTCTTACTGTATATTTTGTTTCTAACAATTCTAAACTCTGCTTAAATTCCTGTTTTTTTTTTTTCTTTTCCAATAATCACTGCAGAACAAGAACTTGGATTGGTTCCCTCGGATGCGAGCCATGTCCCTGGTCAGTAATGAAGGTGAAGGAGAACAGAATGAGATCCGATGCCTTCAGGATAAACTGAATTGCACCATGAAGCTGGTATCTCATCTCACTTCACAGCTGAACGAGTTGAAGGAGCAGGTAATCAAAACTTCTAATATTTTTTCCTCTTTTTACTGGACTATATAAATTTCTAAAATTTAGAAAGGGCTAAAATAATATTATGTATTTTGAAGGACAAAAATGTCTCTCACTAAAAAATGACATACTGATTTCAGAAGAATGTAGAACATGCATTCAGTTTTCTGACAAATCCTCATCTGTGTCAGAAATACAATTTACTATTCAGGAAACAGCAAGCTTCCTCTCAACCCTAAGTTTCAAATTATGCTTACCATTTACTTGCACCAAATTCCCAATTTAGTTTGTAATCAGCATAAGGCTTGCCTTTGGTGGAAATCATCTACCAATTTTTTTTTTAAAATTGCATTTGGAATAGTTTACCCTCTGGTACAAAGTATAGCTGCAGTGCATTATAAAAGTTTATAATATGGTATTTATTTATACCAATAACTTGTATGAAGTGGAGGCATACCCAAGAAAAAGGTTTAGAAATGTTTGTAGCAGCTGTTATTGCAAAGTATCTGAAGTCCTTTATGGCTCAAGAACTATATTGTGAATCCTTAATTAGAAAATTTAAGAACCATGTTTTAATGTTCCTTTTTTTTTACTGCAAATTTCAGATGACAGAGCAAAGAAAGCGGAGGCAACGAATGGGTTTCGTGGATGCTCAGAACACAATGAATCACTGAGACAGTGGAATCCAAGTCTTCAGACTAAAACTGTAGTATATAGATATGTATGCACTTCCTGAAGAGATATTGGTACTAAATTCCTTGCAAAGTTTTTACTGACAACGAACATTGGTCCAGGCTGTGACAATTCATAAAATCTCAGCTCTTCCTTTTATCTCAAGCAGGATTGACTGAAGGCATTTACTGGTAATTCAGCAAGAAACTGAAGCCATGACTACTTGTTTCTTCATATGCATTCAGTTTGCCATACCTTTGAACTGTATTGTAACTGTTCCTTCTTTTTTTCCTTCATGCACTACATTTGGATGGCTATATAGCCAGGTGCAAATAGAATTGACAGTTGTCAGCAAGTAATAGCTTGCTACCTTTTTAACTTATTCAAAGCTACAGTATATGGAAAGTCACCATAGAAAGATGCAAGTTTCATGTTAAGCCTTTTGAACACATGAACATTTTGTCTAGAATCACATCTCAACCAAGAAGAAATTGCAAGAAAATATTCTATTAAGTTAATAGTTTAAGCAATCATATAATTCATAAAATGGCTTTTTTCAATTGGTAAGACTGGATGTTAATGAAAGATTGCACGTTCATGCTGCAGTACGACTGTGCAATTTGTGCCTTGTTCACTCAATAGTATAAAGTACTTTTAGAATTCATCCTGCTTCCAGGCACTAAAAGTTTTTGGAAAATATTTTAACTGTCATGGGTGTCAGAAATATCAGTTATAATTAATCTATATCAGTGACAGACTGGAGCTGCCAAAAAAGTGGGAGGAAAAAAGACTAGGGCTACAAGTATAAAAGTTCTGAAATATGAACTTAAAACGTTCCTTGACAGAATAATTTGCTCCTCTGAATTTAGAATACTTGTGTAAGAAAAAGCCCTCTGTAAAATCTACTTCTGCTAATTGCTGTCAAATGTAAGCAAAAGACAGAAAACAGTTGTCTATATTAAGTGTGGCCAGTTGTCCATTAGCACTAGTCTATAGGAGAAATTAGAAACAATCAAGGAGTCTGTTTCATTCACGTTTGGACCAAAGCAGAGTGTTCTTCAAATATACAGACTGCTGTGCAGATTTAGTAAGAAAAGATTTTACTAATCATAAATCCAGCTTTGTAATTTATCTTCATCTGGTTTGTTTCTCAAACACTGTTTAAAATGTTAGTATGTGAATCTTCTGAAATTTAAAACACAAAATCAGTATAATAAATGGAAAGCAGATGAAACAGTAGCCTCTCGATAAACTTGTCAGATGACAAATCTTGTCCAATTTTTAAAATAATTGTTAGTCACTTACGGTTAAAATTCTAAAGTATTTTAAAAGTCATTTATTCTAATCTTCTGCTCAATGTATAGGCTCCCAACCTTTCTGGCTTTGTGGAGAGGTGGGGGGGGGGAATGGTTCTGCGTGAGTTTCAGGCAAGCGCGTGGACAGCTCCATTTGCTCAAGCAGTGGACACGGTGCTCACCACTCGCACAAATGGAGCAGGCGCACGCACTTGCCCAGGGCTAGGCCAGCCTTGGCTCTTTTATGACTCGTGGACTTCAACTTCCAGAATTCTTGAGCCAGCATAGCTGGCTCAGGAATTCTGGGAGTTAAAGCCCACGAATCATAAAAGAGCCAAGGTTGTCTACCTCTGCACTTGCCTATTGCTTGTGCAAGTGGGGATATGTGTGTGCCCACCACTTCTACAGACCAGTTCTGAACGGCTCAAGGCCTGGTAGTGGGCCATGACCTGGGGACTGGGGATCTCTGATGTATACGCTATAAATGCTTTCCCTCTATGGAAGCCTCTCTTCCTGGTTCTATGGAACCATGGCCACAGTGACTCGTGAACCACAAGATCTGTGTATGTGCTGATACATGTTTTGACACGCTTGCTATTTTGTTAGGATACTAACATGTCCGACTGGTTTTTGCTGTTATTTCCTGGCCACTGAGAATGGATTTTATTACATTGCAGCAAAGAACATTTGGGAGCTGCCCATGTATTTGGAACTACTTTGTTATCTCATCGATTTCACAGGCAGCAGTCATAGAATAGAAATTTCTCCTCTCAATATTCAATTGTACACAACATATGGTAAGCTTCTTTTTCCCCAGAGTAAGTGTCGCCTTTCCAGTAAACAACACACAAGCTAATTAACAGTAAAAAGCCACACATTTATGTCACAGAATGCCAATGTTAGATTTGTTTTGTTTTGACATGAACTATAGTTCTGTTAGGTTCCAACACATCAGTTGCAAGATGACATTCACTACTGAAGATAAGTAAACACCCACAGCATGTAACTATATCATTTCCTGTTCTTCAGATGGACTTCCTAAGTCTTTATAAACCAGTGTATTCAAATGGAGCTTGTTTATCTCATTTCAGAATAGCTTTCCATTGTCCTTTGCTGGTAACGAGGTTTAGCTATACTGGCAAAAACAGTGCTTTATGAAACCAGTTAAAGACCAAGTTATTATTTGGAATCTTCTTTGTGATGCTTGGCGGAGAATTTTTCACGTAACCTTTTCAATTTTCCAAGCTTTCCTTCTTCCAGCTGCTTCAGTTGTTCTGAAAACAGTAGTAGTTGAATAAATTAAGATAGAATACTTTCTAAAACATGTTTTATATTTCTGCCTACTTATTTAAGAATGCATTACAAAATATAGGTGACTAATGTACTTCTTCCAGTATGCAATTGGAAATCACAACAGATTCTACCTCCCTAATCCACATGCTTTTGCAATCCATACAGTTGAATACTCACAATCACAAGCAATAATTCTGCTTTAAGCTACACCTTCAAAACCCTAAAATGCAAAGCATTAGTTTCAATCTAAATTTTTGCTTCACTGCCGGAGGCAATATATTTTCTTTATTCAGTACAGCAATTCTAGAGCCAGGAAAAAGTAACATTTTCTATGTGTATTGAATAAAAGCCTACAATTTAGCTCCACGCCACTCTAAATATATTTTAAATGCATTCTGTTGTTTTGAGTGCATAAACATATACAAAAATTAAATCATTACAATAGAAAACTCTTGAATGATAATAGCTTTAGCTTCTATATAGTATACCCTATACAGAGGAGGCATTATATATTTACCTCTATTCCTTATCATCTTTTTAACCCAAAGAAGAAAGTAAGCAGATAAAGGATATGGAATTCCTGTTACAATTCTTATATTACATGTTAGTTTTTGGCTGATCCTCCTCAGCAGCACATGCTAGTAGTCCTTGTTCAAGGACTGTTTGAAGGTATAATGGCCCTGGTAAAAATGATTTACAATCAATCCTTGCACTATAACCATTGCAGCATCCTCAGAGTCACATAATCAAGATTCAGGTGCTTGTCAACTGGCATGTATTTATGACAGCTGCAGCATCCTGGGTCATGTGAACATCATTTTGTGATCTTCCTAGCCAGTTTCCGACAAGCAAACTCAATAGGGGAAGCCGGATTTGTATGGAATTATGTCATAACCACTGAATTCCAAGAGTCATTGAGTTTGCTTGACTTTAAATGGAAGAAATATGAAAATGGCAGTTGGGGCTATGAGAAATGGCTTGCTCCATTAAGCTTAAAGTAGCCTAGAAGATTACATGAACAAGGGCACCTTTTTATGTTGAGTGACTCATGCATTTCTTTTTTAAAAAAAGCCTGACATATCTACTCTTTAAATTGTTCACAGCTTCTTTGGATTAAAAATGGATGGCTGTGTATCACTTTACACCAACATGCAACTTACAGCCACTACGATACAAAGCTCAATGAGGGGCACTGAACTAGTCCTTTACAAGTGTTTTTAGAATATATTTGAATTCATAGCAAAGCTGTTGCACGGGAAGGAAAAAGTTAGTGGCAGCAAATTCTTGTGTGGAAAAGAGGCCAAAGGAAGAAAGAAAAAATGTACAAAAACTATAAATAAATCTACTATACAAAAGACACTAGATTTATGCCAATAAATGTCCCCACAAATACTCAAGCAGTTACTACAGTTTAATTACCTGTTGCAAGGACCAACTTGCATTCCTCCACTGGCACTCCAGAGAAGTTTGTATCTCTCAGACGTGGATACTATTCCAAAAAGAAAAACATATATAAATATACACCTTACTTTCTCTAATAGAGAAAAGTGCTTTTGACAAGATAATGTACTGCATGGCAAGAAATGAAATAAATTTACTATGTACTAGAGCAGAGGTCCCCAACTATGCACTGTGGCCCACTACCAGGCTGTGGCCTCTTGGCCACTGGGCTGCGTGAGTGGCTGGCCAGTGTGGGCGTGCATGTACGCGCACTCACCCCCTCCTTGCACCAGTGCTAGCAAGCCGTGAGCCTCAGGCGTTAGCTGACCTACGAAGCTCTCGCTGGCAGTAGCTAAGCCATGAGTTGTGAGGCTCGCTGGTGCTAGCTGAGCTGCGAGACTCTCGTCGGTGCTAGTCAAGCTGTGAGCTGAGCTGCGCGCCAGCTAGCAGCCCCATTTGTGGAGCATCATGACCCCGTTGCATGCATGCATCCTTATTTGCATAAAGGCGCCTGCCCCTCCCTTTCCCACAGGGACAATGCAGAAAGGTTGGTGATCCCTGTACTAGAGTCTTGTTATGGTAATTAATAGACGTGCGTATTCAGATATATAAATGTATGCATATTTCAGACTATTTTCAAAGATTATACAGAATTTAAGAACGCAATTGTCTTTTTCTTGAACTAAGATTTTGAACAGATCTAAACAGTATGCCTAGTATCAGAATTAGAAAACTATAAAGAGAGCAGTCACCACATAACCATACTCACCTTATTTTTATAATAATTAGTATGAATTTTGGTTAAACTTTCAAAAATTTCATCGCAAGTCACTGGGTCAGCAATCTGCAAGAATAGATTGTAGTAAAAAAGGAATTAAAAACGTATATAAGTCACAATAATTAAAAACAGATTACATGTTCTTAATGTTTAGAAGATGTTTCAATTATAAATTATAGCTGCCACACCTATTCACTTGATTATCAAATTAAAGTTTCCTAAAATAGATTTAACATGAATCTTGCATGTGAATTCCATTTTTTGTCAATCTTCTACAAATCAAAGTACATAATCTATAGAAAGAGTAAATATGTGATTAAAACAGCCCTAAATATGCCCACATAATGAACATAAGACAAAAAATAATCACTGGGATATGGACATGCAGTATGGACTTATGCCCATGGTGGATAATACTAACATCAACCATCCCGCAAGCGCTGGATCCAGGTCTCTTCACTTTTTGGCTCTAAAATATGACACAGAGTGATACATTTTGCAAAATCATGATGCCAAGTTGCCACCTCTCCATTTTCTCCATAGTTCTGAGGTGCTAGCAATTCTCAGGCAATGGATACAATCTCCCTGCCTTTGGGCAAGGGGAATCTTTCTCAATATTTACATGTATTTTGGCTTTATCACACTACCAAAGATAAGAGGTGGGGGGCGGAAACCCATTTCCATCTTAACTCATAACAAAATAATCAGAATAGAGCTGGAAGGGACCTTGGAGATCTTCTATCCAAGGGTCTTCAAACTTGGCCCTTTTATGACTTGTGGACTTCAATTCCCAGAATTCTTCAGCCAGGCTCGCTGGCTGAGGAATTCTGGGAGTTGAAGTCCAAAAGTCATAAAAGGGCCAAGTTTGAAGACTTCTGTTCTAGTCTAACCCCCGGCTCAAGCAGGAGACCCCATGCCATTTCATGCTTTCATGAAGTTTAAAAACAAAAACAAAAAAAAGAGTCCTGAAGCTTCGTGCAAACTGGAGATCCACAGGTCCTCCCAGATCCCAGAACTGAAAAACATGCAGAGGCTTCCCTTCGAGTCAACACGCGTGCCTGCCTCTTAATCGTTTAATCCCCAATTCATACACCGATAAGGTGGTCAGCGGGAAAAGGGCAAGTCCTGAACTTTTCATAGCCTCTGCTGCAGCCGAGTCCTGTCGGAACCACTTCCTCGCTCTGGCCCGGGACGAAGAGGCTTTATAGCTGCAAGGTAAACGACCTTGGCGCCGCCAATTGCTATAGCCCAGCCCTTGCAGCGCAAATCCCCCAATGCTAAGGCCCAACGTGGGTCCCACCTGAGTATTCTCTCCCTCGCGGAAGGCTTGCATCACTCTCTGCCGCACCACGACTCCCAAATCACGGCCGCGCGTGGTCTCCTCCACGGGCCACTCTTCGCAGAGCTTCAAGAAGCGTCGGTACCGCGCCGAGGCCATCTTGGCGGACGTTTATCCGGCACTATTGGCGGCCGGCTCACATGGTTTAGCCCCGGCTGACTACGTCACTCGGTTTTGGTCTACGAAGCTGGCAGAGTCTATTACGTGAGCCGGAGAACAGAACATTGCGCCTGCGCAAAGGAAGCTGGCCGCGACGGCCAACAGTGGGAGCTAAGTAGATTTAATCAGCGGGATCACAGTTATACAGTTAGGGGAGAAAATGAGAAATTACAGACGAAAACAGAAATCCCCTAGGATTCCATCAATTGGACTTTGAGCCAATGGCCAATGGCTTTGAGCAGTGTTTCTCAACTTCGGCGACGTTTATGTGGACTTCAATTCCCAGATTTCTCCAGCCATCTTGAAGTTCAAAAACACGGTCCTGTAACTCAGGACCTGTTACAGGTAGTCCTCGACTTACAACCACAATTGAAACCAAAATTTCTGTTGTTAAGTGAGACATTTTAAAGTGAGTTTTGCCTCATTTTAGGACCTTTCTTGCCATAGTTAAGTGAATCACTGCAGTCATTAAGTTAGTAACACAATTGTTACTTCCCCATTGACTTTGCTTGTCAGAAGGTTGCAAAACCTGATCATATAATCTCAGGACTCTGACCTTCATAAATATGAGTCAGTTGCCTAGTGGCTGAATTTTGATCATGTGACCATGGGGATACTGCAACAGTCATAAGTGTGAAAAATGGTCATAAGTCACTTTTCAGTGCCATTGTAATTTTGAATGGTCACTAAATGAACTGTTTTAAGTTGAGGATTACCTATATTAAGAATTTGAAGAATAGATCTGCCAATGCAAATGGCATTGCAAATATAGACTGAGGGACATAGATGTCCAGGGAGATGGGTGGTTCCAAAATGTGGTAAATAAATAAATCATCATCATTCACTTTAGTCTTGTCTTAGAACAGGGATGTCAAAGTGCCGGCCCATGGGCCGGATGCATCATAGTGAAACCGCATCCACCCCATTGCTGGCAATGGCAAAAAAGTTGTAATCCATCATGACATGTCACGTGATGTTGCGAGTTTGACACCCCTGTCTTAGAATGTCAAGGGAAGAATTTCCATTCTATTCCATGTATGTTTCATCACTTCCACTTCCAGTGAGCACTTTTGCTGAAAGCATTATTGTATCAGCAAAATTTTAGTGTGTCAATAATGCATCTTTGGCAATGTAGTCAAGTGTTTGGTAGGTCAGAGTTTTGTAATTAAGTTAGGAGCTTAATTTTTTTGGAAAAAAGATACTAACCCTTGCAATAAATATCATTTCCCATCTGTACATCTCACTGAACACTCACTCTCAGTAAACATAATAAAAAGCACTTGTGGCTCCTGGCTTTCAGTAACTACCAAATATTTCATTCAACACATGATACTAATCTTAACAAACTCAATTCTTCAAAATTTCTCCTACTTTTATTTTTAAGAACAGGAAAAATATTAAAATGCAAACCACCCTTTTAGGAAAAACACCCCAAATACTCTTTGGAGGCCTTGAAGACATGGCTCTACATTCCTCAAGAACCGTGAACGAGACATTAACTCACAGATTCATCTGACACAGATCTATAGTGAGGACATTGGGATGTCATTCAACTGGATAAGTGTGGCTGGATGGTAGACAAAAGAGGGAAGGTGGGGTGGAATTATCACATCAACAAGCCACATAGGAGACATATAGGAGACATATAGACCAACTACAAATACCTGGTTATGCCACAGTCACATGGAAACCACAATTAGGAGGCAAGGAAGATGGCAATATCAAAGTATTGCCAAAAGTTAAGATAGGCCCTGAAGAGCAAGCTCAATGGGAAGAACATTGAGCCATTCATGCCATCAATATGTATGCTCTGCCAATCTGAAAACCCAGAAGCGCCTTAAAATGTACCCCAAGTCCCAACACCCAGAGGCTGTACACATCTGGAAAGAGGCAAGCAAGGTATGGTGATGTTCAAAGCCACTATCATGGATGAGACCCAGAACATCCAGGAGCACATCAATAAAATGGTAATCAAAGATGAGCTGCCGAGAGAACACCTGAGGCAGCAGCAGACAAGGGAGGAAGACTAAGCAGAGAATTTGCCATGGCAAAACAAGACCCTGCACAGGTTGTACCACTGATGTAGCTGAATGGCAGATTGGGAAATTCTGTTGGAGGCTGGAAAGGGCTGGACTAAAACACAACACTGAAGCACTGATCATAGCAGCACAAGAACAGGCACTAAGCACCAGATGCACAAAAACAGGGGTCTACCACACTGAAGGTATCAAGGTACAGATGTCAGTGACAGTGCAATACATGATATAAGATGCACGCAGGAATAGCATAGTTAAGCAGCACAACCAAGTAGCAAGCACTGTATATAGGAACATCTGCACAATGTATGGGATAAACTCCCAAATCCTGATAAGAAATTCCACAAAAGATTGTGAAGAATAACGGCTAAGATCCTGTGGGATTTCCAGAATTAGATGGACAGGCAAGTACTGGCCAACCAACCAGCCATTGTAGTAAACAAGGGCCAGAAGATAGTGATAATGGTGTAATAGATGTAATGGTGCCAAGTGATAACAGTAATATGAAGGAATATGAGAAGCTGGAGAAATACCAGAGTCTCAGGAGGATGTGGAAAGTAAAGACTAATGTGGTCCCAGTGGCAATAGGAGCACTTGGGACTGTGACCCCTAGGCTGGGTTCCAACAGATCCCAGGAACAACATTAGAGCTCTCTGTACAGAAGAGTGCTAGGAACTGCTGAAATACTGTGCAGCATTCTCCCAGACCACTGGTAGAGGATCTGAGATTGGGAAGACACATACCACCCATAGAGATGAGAAGGGATTTTTTTTATAAACATAGAGGGAGGAGGAGGGAGGGAGGGAGGGAGGAAGAGGGAGATAGGGAGACAGAGAGAAAGCACTTCTGTGATGGAAACTTTATTGCAATATTTTCCAAGCAAGGTGAATATATGATTTTGGCAGCAAAGAGAAGGTAGCAAATGTAACATACTGTTGTATTAGAGCTAATCCCATTCTTCATAGATACACTCCCATTTCTTTTTTATTTCCTGGAAAACTTAGTCCTTATATAGGGTGGATGCCACTGCATTGTTGATATGTTGAAACTACTATATTTGTTTTGCTGGGGAATATGCAGACTAAACATCTGGCTGACTATGTAACCAACAATAATAATATCAATAGTAAAACGTGCCTCGGGTGCAATCCCAAAACAACTGTAACACCATTTGAACACTATTGGCATTGACAAAATCACCATTAGTCAATTGCAAAAGGTAGCTTCACTTGGAATGGTAAACGAGGATGCCTTTAAAATCATCAAACAACAACTTCTGCCTAGCCTAGTTCTTGAGAAGGATTTAATAGGTGAATAAAAATGCCTAATCAAGTCAAAACATCTGCCTGACTCTGTAACAAACTAATTCAAGAAATATAAATTTGATAGATGGTTTCACATGGATTAGCTTAAAATATGTGCAAATTAATTTTCTTGGAGAGCAAAAACAAAACAAAACAAACCCCAAAAAGTATTGTTCTGCTGCCAAGTTGCTTCAATGGATGTCTCATCTTTAGTGGGGCAGAATGGGCTGAGGAAAAGATTGAGTTGTATGTGTATCTGTACTAAAAATGAGCAAAATTGAAAAATTATGAGTTTTCTTAGAAATCTGAAGAAAACCCAGAATTTTTTGGAGTGTTAATGATGTGTCATCTCCGCTTGCTCCCAGTGATGTATTTACAAAGAAATAGAACCCTTTATAGGTGTGCCCCCCAAAAAACTTCCCATTGCTGAGAGCAGAGGGCAGATGCATAACACCATTTACGTCATTCTATTTGTGGTGGCATTGCTGGCAGATGCTTGATATATAGCCAGGCAGATGCTTTTTCATAGGGCACATCATAATTTCAGGGCACTATGTTCTCTAGTATAATTCCCCAGAGCTCAAACCTGACCAGTAACTCTGAAAGACCCAATTTAAGAGGAAGGAAAGGTTTGCTGGATGTAATTTTAGAACTGCAATATTTTTATTCAGTGCTTATACAACATAATTTTAAGCACTTATCTGGTTATAATACTCATTGAATTGACCCAGGAAATTTAGGATGTAAATGGGTTGTTCCATTTTATGCATATTTACTCAGACAAAAAGAGGAGTTTAATGCCATTTCCCTAAAAATGCTGAGAGGAACTTCATACAAGGATAAGCTTTTATAGCCTTGATGTTTTATACACAGTTATCTACAATTTTGTGCTGTAATAAATCCCACTGAACTTTATATGGTATCCTCCCTGGAAGTAGGATTCAATTGCAATTTTTATTTATACATTCATTTAAATGTTGAAGGATGTTCTATCCCAGTGTTTCTCAACCTTGACCATTTTAAGGCATGTGGACTTCAACTCCCAGAATTCCACAGCCAGCATTGCTGGCTGTGGAATTCGGGGAGTTGAAGTCTACATGCCTTAAAATGGTCAAGGTTGAGAAACACTGTTCTATCCAATATATATCAATATGCTTAATTCAGAAGAACTAGCTCAATATCTTATAGTCTGCATTAATAGTTATAACAGCTATAATCTAGGATTGTTGCAGAAAATGAACATATGCATAAATTGCTTTCTTAATATCAAATTATTATTTTATAAATATTTGACACAACAAGAGTGTGAGTTTGACAAGCAGCTCAAATGAAGACAAATCCTTTTGCAGCCAGAGACTATGACTGTCTATGTGGAATTGCTTTGGATTTTGCGATGTCAGTTGCGTATTAACAGTATTCAACATTGTGAATAATATCTAGCAATTTCCTGAAGCTGGGCAGCAGGCTAAGTGGAATATGCACTTGGTTTAATGATTTAATCTGCCTGTCACACAATTTGTGGTTACTCACGGGCCACATTAAAGAAACATCTAGATAGCAAAAAGATTTCCCCAGAGGTCTGGTATTTAAACTAGTAAAACATGATTTTGCAGCAATTATGTAAATATTGATAGACCTGTGAGAAATAGCATAAGGAAATATAGACACAGTCACA